TAAATCTCCCCTCCCTCAACTTAAAACCATTTCCCCTCATCCTGCAGTTATCAACCCTTTCAAAGAGCTGACTCCCCTCCTGTCTGTAGGCTCCCTTCAGTACTGCAGGCTGCAATGATTCACCCCGCAGCTTCTCTTCTCCATGCTGAACAAGCCCAGCTCCCTCAGCCTGTCTTTGCAGGGAGGTGCTGCAGCCCTGCTCATCTCTGGGGCTCCTCTGGACCCTCTCCAACAGCTCCCTGTCTTTCTTGTGCTGGGGGCTCCACACTTGGGCGCAGTGCTGCAGATGGGGCCTCACAGGAGCAGAGCAGAGGGGAACAATCACCTCCCTGTCCCTGCTGGCCACCCCTCTGCTGATGGAGCCCAGGATCCCATTTGCTTTCCCAGCTGTAATCACACCCTGCTGCCTCACGTTCAGTTTTTCATCCCTCAGGACCCCCAGGTCCTTCCCTGCAGGGCTGCCCTCAAGTCCCGCTCCTTCCAGTCTGTAGGGATGCCTGCGATTCCTCCATCCCAAGTGCCAAACTCTGCACTTTGCCATGTTGAACCTCATCAGGTTCACCCAGTCCCATCTTTCCAGCCTCTCGAGGTCCCTCTGAATGGCATCCCTTCCTTCCTGTGTTGGCCGCACAGGTGACGGCTGTGCTTGGATTACCTCGGCAGTAGCAGTTACTGCACATCCCGCATTACGTTCCCTTGTCTCAGAAAAGCGCTTCCATCCATGAATCCTCAGCATCTCCCAGTGGTGCCCCCTGTAGGTCTGGCCCACTGGCACAGTCAGCCTCCATCAGTCACACTGCTGGCTCAGCGCTAGCTCCCTGTTGGTGCTCTGGGAGTCTGGCAAATTGCTTCCTTCCTTCTCTTTCATCAGTGGAGCTCTCCGTTGAGAAACTTGATGGCCATTCAAACCAAGAGATTCAGCAAACTCACAGCCCATTGCATGCAGCCCTCTCTCATTATTGTGGCATCCGCAATGTACTGCTGGAAAGTTCCACCCTGGGATGGAGGCACCCACATCTCAGGCTCACGAACTGACCGGTTCTCACAAATCATTGGGTAGATGATGGTTTTGCAGTAGAAGCTTCCAGCTTCCAGGATTTTCTGTACGTAGTATTGGCCTTTCCTGAACTTACATGTGAAATAGTTGTTTTTTTTCCACTAAGAAAGTTACTGAACAGAGTAAAAAGTTAAAGATTTGGGGTGCTCTGACTGGGGTAGGTTTGAGCCAGGCACAAAATAAGGCAAATACAGAGGGTGGAGAGAGAGCCCAGCACGGGACAGAACAAATGTGCTCATTCTTGGAATTATTGCCCTCCTATCTCCATGGGAAAGTACAAATCATACCAAAGAACAGGTTGGTAACGGTCCTGATAAGGAATTGTATCACAGCAATGGCATCGGGGAGATTGTGAGCCTGAGATGCTCAACCACTGAGCACCACGAGAGCCTTACCTGTGCTGGGTTCAGGGTAGGTCACAGGATGATTTCACTGCCCAGGCACAATTCGTCCCCTGCCAACAGGGACCACGTGCCCAATACTGCAGTAATGAATAAACGTTGCTGCTATCACCAAGATCCTTGCCTAAATTGAAATGTTTGACTCTGATTTTCTCTCACCCTGGGTAACAGTGCCCAGGTCAACTGAGGTTTTTCTCCCCGTATCGGGGTTCTCAAACTCAAAGGCAAATAATCCTGGGCTTCACCAGGCAAAAAGGCACCCTTCAAATCCAGAAGGCGAACCCCAGCTACTCGCTCCTTCACTTGGCTGATGGCTTTGCTACCACTGGCTGCGTATCTTCAACAGTTCTATTACCTGCCCCCCAATCTTGTGCCAAACTGCAGCTCTTGCCATGCGATTTTTCATCGGCAAGACTGGGGTGCTGCATTTGGACTCACATTCAACGAATAATCCAAACTCCAAAAAGTGTTCTGTTACTTCTTTCATCCTTCCAACATCTCGTGTCCTCGAAGGGCACCCTGACAAAAAGCCTCCTGCTTTTAAGTTCCCTTCTATCGGGCTGCATTTCGGCTCTGCCAGCCGTCCCCGATGCCCTGATGTTGGATGAACCCAATTCAAGATTGGTACAACGTTGTTCTTCCCAGCTTGAAGCCAGACTTAAAATTTCCAATCTGTTGATCTTGCTTTACCCTCAGCCCCTTTTTTTTATTTTTTTATCTTTAATTTTGTATTTAATTGATAAGATTTTTTCTTGTTGGCCAGCAGCTCCTACTGCTGTTACAAAAACCACCTCCGGATGGTAAATCTTTGGTAGCAGATGGTAATGCTTTGGTAGCCAGGCTTGGCCAGCCTGCTTGTGGGAATGGAATGTTGCTTCTGCATTTGATATTAAAAAGAGCAATTGGTTTGAAGAAGTAGGACGTCATGCATTTGTATCCTGTCACTCATCCTTAGAAACAGTTGATCTAAGAAGTAAAGCATTATATATGTTAGCAGCATGTTTTAGAATCGTTATTACTGAATTATGTGATTAATTCTTTCTTGCAAAACTGGAGTAGTTGTTAAATGCTCCAAACAATGCGAGTGTAGTGTTAGGGATTAGAAAACGTATTGCAGAGCTGTTCTGTTAGGATAGGAAACTCCCAGCAAAAGGAAGGCAGAGTTAGCAAACATTGAAGAAATTGGGGCTGTACACAAGGCTGAACTGATGCTGTGATGCTGTGATTGTGTGATTGTGTGATGCTGTGATGCTGTGATTGTGTGATTGTGTGATGCTGTGATGCTGTGATGCTGTGATGCTGTGATTCTGTGATGCTGTGATTCTGTGATTCTGTGATGCTGTGATTCCGTGATTCTGTGATGCTGTGATTCTGTGTTTCTGTGATTCTGTGATGCTGTGATGCTGTGATTCTGTGATGCTGTGATTCTGTGAAGCTGTGATTCCGTG